ATCTAAAACTAATGATGTAATGTATGGGGATTAACATAAGAATAAAAATTTAAAAAAAAAAAAAAAAAGGAGGATCCAGAGCCCTCTCTCTGCCATGTGAGGACACAGCAAGGAAGCCATCTGCAAACCAGGAAGTGGCTTTCACCAAACACCACATTTGCTGGCACCCTAATCTTGGATCTCCCAGCCTCCAGAACTATGAGAAATAAATGTTTGCTGTTGAAGCCAGTCTGTGGTATTTTGCTATAGCAGCCTGAACTGACTAAGACAATAGAGGGTATTTCCAAGTGTGAGAGTGTAGCACAGAACTGAGAACTAACTTTGGGATTCACATACATTAAAGACACAAGAATAAGACTAGGATAAAAAGACATGAAAACAACTATAGTATGATGTCTGAAGTAAAGGAAGGCACTGAGAAGAAGTATGTAACATTGAAATCAGAGAGGTAGCACACAAGAATGAAGGGTCAGAAAAGGCCACTTTTGCTGATGAGACAGCAAACTCTGAGCTGGAGATTAGCTTGCATGAAGTTTACTGGGCAGATCTCTTTGGATCAGCACCTCGGAGAGAAGAATTGGCAGCAGCACTGAATGGAGAAGGAAACTGGGCTGTGACGCAGTCAACACAGGCCTTAGCCAACCCTGCTGGACCCCCTGAATTGGGATGGCTGCTTAGCACCCCCTTCCACTTGGGTAAGGGGGCTGGGCCTTTGTACCTCTGCATCAGCCAGTCATTGGGTACAGCCTGCTTACCAGGAAGGGGGTGCGACTTTGGGCAAGGCACCTCTTTCTCTTTGGGCTAGAGTGATTCACAGAGAGGGCTGACAGCTGACACTGGTGTCCTTCAGCACTTCTGAAGGACAAGTATGGGGGGGCTGAAGCACAGTCTCCATTGCCGCATTGCATTTGAATTTAGAAAATCATTTGTGATTTTTGTGAAAATGGTTTAATTAGTGATCAAATCTTTACCAAGTTTGATGAATGTTTGGGAGGAGACCAAGAAGATTTTTTTTTTTAAAGATTTTATTTATTTATTTGACAGAGAGAGACACAGTGAGAACAGGAACACAGCAGGGGGAGTGGGAGATGAGAAGCAGGCTTCCCGCCGAGCAGGGAGCCCGATGCAGGGCAAGAAGATTTTTTGAAGAGGAAGAAAAATGGTTAGATTTAGTCAACTGAACAAAGTCATCACAATAGCTGATCAATAATTTGTTGCACCTAGGTCTGAGGAAAATAATTGTTTTGGGGCAAAATTATGAGTCTGGCTTCCAGTATGCAGTTGTATCAGTTTTTATTGTTCTGTAATAAGCTGCCCCAAAAGATAGTGGCTTAAAATAACCATATATTTACTCATATTTTACCTGAAAAGGCTGGGTTCATTTGGGTGGTCCTTCTGCTGGTCTGGCCTGGGGTCACTCATCCTGCTGCCATCTTCTGAGGCTTGACTGAGGCTGCATTGTCCCAGTGCTTCCCTCATGTCTGCAACTGAGCTGTTGACCAGCATCTCATTCCTCCTTCTCTGGCAGGGGAGCCCAGACTTCTTACATGGGATAGGGTCCATAGGAGGAGACCCCAGTGCACTCAGGTGCTTACCAGGCCAAAATGATTACCCCTCCAAGGACACTCATAGTCTCACCAGTCACAGCATCAGGTCTAGATAGAGATGGGGCTTTCTCAGGCGCAGGCCCTCTTGATCCAAAGGTCTAGGAACAGAAAAACACACCATCTACCCCATAGACTTAACATCCTGTGGTGCGATAAGAATGGGGTAACTGTAATGAGTTTGAACTCTTGTTCAAAAGGGGTTAGATGGAGGTACCTAGCAGTCACTGGTCCTGAATGGGTCAGAAATCCAGCTAAGTACATGGGGCCAGTGCCCCCTAAAGTGGGAAAAGGGAATGTTCCTAAGTTAGGACCCAACTCTGATCCCTGGGAGTGGTACCCCCAAACCTTTGGGCTCTGTGGCTCTTGGCTCTGCTTTCAGAGAGCACCTTCCTTTTACAGAAAAAATACCCTATACTTGCAGCTGATTAACTTTCTTAGTTTGCTTTCTGCCCAGAAAAATTGGGAACCCAGAGGCCTTCTTTCATTTTGGACTGTGTCTGTCCCTTTAATCCAAGCTGGCAACACTTAAGCTGGTACAATTCACTTAAAAAACTTTGCAGGTTTTCTATAAATCTTATTGGGGGTGCCTACATGCCCCAGAAGCCATATCCACAGTTCTTTTCAAGGCAGACCCCTTTCCACTTCATTGTACAAGGCTTTTGTGGACTAGAGCCCCAAAGATACTTGAAAGCTTTTTTCTACCTGAGAGAGAAGGTCTGCTTTGCTAGGCACTACCTTAAATCTTTCTGAGAGGTTTCCAAAGAGTATTCCAGCCACACCCTTGATGTGATCTCTACCCTGCAACTACTTCTTACTCTGAGACTCTTGCTGCTAAGAGAAACTACAGATATGAAATAATTTTTTTTAAAGATTTTATTTATTTATTTATTTGACAGAGAGAGAGAGAGGGAACACAAGCACGGGGAGTGGGAGAGGGAGAAGCAGGCTTCCAGCCGAGCAGGGAGCCCGAGGCGGGGCTCGATCCCAGGACCCTGGGATCATGACCCTGAGCAGAAGGCAGACGCTTAACGACTGAGCCACCCAGGCGCCCCGAGATATGAAATAATTTTATTTTCCAACCCAACAAGTCCTGGTTTTTCTTTATTTTTTCTAAATTCAAATTGGAAAATCAGAACACTTCTCTCTTAAGCTCCTTTCTCTTTGTGTACTTTATCATACCCAGTTAAAGTAAGTTAATTGGCACTTTTAACCTCCTGCCTAGACACCTCCTTGGCCACATGCATACATTTGCTAAGTACACTTTCTAACTTCCAAGTCAGTGTAGATGCCAGTTTTCCCAGTTGTTTCATGACTGCAAAACATGACTTTCCCTTTATGCAGCCTCTGCTAACAATTCCTTACCGCCTCTCCAGCCTCCAGTAATATGGTTCTAATGCTTCTCTAAATTTTGCCTGCTGCCTAGCCCAAAAGACAAGGTTATATGTTTTAGTTTTTATGACAGCAGCACCCCACTTTTAGGTACCAATTTTTATATCAAATATATGAATGTTCATCACAGCATTATTCATAATGAACAAAAGTGCGTGGGCACAACCCAGGTATCCATCAACAATGAATGGATAAACAAAATGTGGCCTATCCATAACGGGATATTATTCAGCTGTAAACAGGAATGAAGCGCTGATGCATAATACAACATGGATGAACCTTGAAAACATTATGCTAAGTGAAGGAAGCCAGACATAAAAAGCCATCTATTATATGATTGTATTTATTATGAAATGTCCAGAATAGGCAAATCCATGGAGATGGAAAGCAGATAAGTGGCTGCCAGGGGCCAGAGGGGGAGGGAGAATAGGGAGTGACTGCTAATGGGTACAGGATATCTTTTGGGGGGGTGATAAAAATATTATGGAAATAGATACTGGTGATGGTACAACTTTTTGCGAATGTATTAAATGTCACAGAATTGTACATTTTTAGAAATGTGAACTGTATCTCAGTTTTTTAAAAGCTCGCTCAGGGAAGCAGTCAGTGGGAGTGTTACGGGAGAAGGGATACAGGAACTAGCACTTACACAGTGGTGGAGGAGCTCTGGAGGTGAAGGGGCAGGAGGGTCAGGGGGTCTGAACAGTGACAGAGTGGCCAAGCATGTCCAGCACTACCCAAAAGGGGGCCTTCATGGAGAGGCCTGTGGAAAGCAGTTGCCTCTGCACGACTGCCTCCTCTGTGGGTCCAGAGCCAAACCCCATCAGGGATCGAGGTCACTGTGGTCAGCAGGGACAGCACAGTTGGGAAGAAGAGCCAGAGGTGGAGTCAAAGTGAATGAAGACAGGCTGGAACCCACAGGTATTTCTGCATCAGTCCTGCCACTGATGACCAGAGGAAGACCTTCAGAGGGCAAAAGCTGCTGCTTCATGTCTGCGTTCCTCATGTCCTACAAGTTCCTTTCCGCCAGCTCTATAGACAAGAACCATGCGGGGAAGGGGATTCTAGGAAATCTGGTTCCTAGCTTAAGCAAGCTGACACGGCACAAATGCTGCACGATTTAAGAATTTGAAAGGTCCATGCAGCTTAAGTGAATGATGGCAAGGTCCTGATGGAGCATTTGACAGAGGAGACAGAGAGAAGACAATTCATTGCTAGAAATTCAAGTCCTAGTAGGCAACGCAACCAATTTGATTGAAGAGCAGAAAGGATAGTGATGCCTTTATAGCTATTTCAGTGCTATAGGTTTGGGAAGCATAGTACTGCAATTGTGATGTGAAATTTGAGCATTCAGAATGGAGCCACTTACATGTAAATAGTGTTGTTATTCAAACCATGAGTCTGTGAAGAAGTCTTAGTCATAAGAAACTTGGGTAGCTGAAGGAGCTTGCTGATTAAAAATCTTTTGTAGAATAAGCCTATCAAGACCAAGATATGTAAAATATTTCTGTTTATCATATTTGCAATCTCAGAAAATCTGTTTATCATGTCTGTAATCCAGAACAGTCAGAAAAGGTATTTGATGAACTCCAAATATTTTGTGTACATTTTGTATTTCATTTAGGAAAATGAATTTGCACAAGCCAGCAGCTATGCAGATTTAGCTGTGAACTCTGATAGATATAATCCCTCAGCTCTGACTAATAAAGGGAATACAGTTTTTGCAAGTGGTGATTATGAGAAGGCAGCTGAATTCTATAAAGAGGCTCTAAGAAATGATTCTTCTTGTACTGAAGCACTTTATAATATTGGTAAGTAAAACCAGCAAAATTGCTGTTTTGGGTTTTCTCCTTTACAATTTTTTTCTCTCTTTTCTTTTTTTAAATTGGCTTAAAGAGCTCCAATTCATTAGAGGGAAGAGTTGACTTCCTTGTAACAAAAAAATTGAAAAGAAGGTTCTTGGATTATTGATTATTTTTAATGGAATTGATTCCAAAGTTATACACATGCAAAATTTGGATAGATGTTGTCCCTTGCCCTCTAAAAAGACTTTTCCAATTTATGTGCCACCATAGTGTATGAGACTGACTGGTTTCCCAAGTTCCTGTTAATATTGGATATTTAACTCATGCCAAACTGATGGGTGGAAAAAACCCATTTTCTTCCTTTTTAATTATGATCAATTTCAAACATAAAGAAATTTTAGAGAAAAATAAATACTCATGTCCCTACCAACATTTTAACATTTTGTCATATTCGCATCAGGTATTGTTTTTAAACAAAATGTTATAAGACCTAGAGGTGTACCACCATCTTATTCCCTTCCCTGCCTGTCAGAGGTCACCTGACATGGGTATCATTTCTTCCTGTTCATGAGTTTGCAGTGTGGCAAACACATTGATGCAATACTGTGTCTTATCTCTTGGGTTATTAATGAAGTTTCTTTTGAAGTTTTCTTCTCACTGCAATAGGTGTGTTTTGCTTTCTTTGGTTTGCTTGTTTGTTTTGTCCTCTGTATTTCATGTCATGAACTCTCCTCTGATGTCTGATGATCCTGGCCTGTCTTCTTGCATTTAGGAGTTTGCAGCTAAAAGCTAAGTGGGATCTCTGAGGCCACAAGTGAAATTGATGCACTGGCACCCTGCCACAGGGCCATCTGTCTGATCTGTGTAGTTGGGGAACTGCCTGTTAGCCAATTGGATCCTTCCTCCCCCAGAAGAGTCTTTAATCTCCTGCCAGAGGCGAAAAGAAGACCTGGCTGGGTTGGGAGGAGAGGAGGCAGGGAGGAATTGGCCATTTTAGCCAGAGTCAAGGAGAGTTTAAAGTCGTATTGGAGAAAAGGAGGGTGTGACCATTTGGGTAACTGGGAAAAGAGCATTACCGACAGAGGGAAGTGAACAGTAAAAGCCTTAATGCAGGAGATTTCTTGCCTAGGTATATATTTACTTAATTCTCTTTATAAGTTTTAAATACTTTTCCTAGTCCATTGCTTGGCTTTTAACTTTGTAATTTCTTTTGTCAAACAATTTTTTCAATTTTTATGTAGTCAAATTTTGCTTTTTTAAAATGTGTGGCTTTTCGGGGCACCTGGGTGGCTCAGTCGTTAAGCGTCTGCCTTCGGCTCAGGTCATGATCTCCAGGTCCTGGGATCGAGCCCCGCATCGGGCTCCCTGCTCAGCGGGGAGTCTGCTTCTCCCTCTCCCTCTGCCTCTCCCCACTGCTCCTACTCTCTCTCTCTCTCTCTGTATCTCTCTGTCTCAAATGAATAAATAAAAAAAAAAATTTTTTTTTAAATGTGTGGCTCTTCTTTGTTTATTGCTTATTGCTTTATGAAGCCCTACCCTTCCCCAAGATTATAAAATCATTTTCCTATATTTTCTTTTCATACTTTTACATCTTTGTTTTTCTGTTTAGTTTTAAAGTAAGTTTTGAATATATTCAAAATAGGAATCTATGTTTTTTTGTTTCATGTGTAGTCAGTTGTCCTGGCACCTTTTGTTACTAGTCCCTTAGTCCCCACCAAGTTTAAATTCTGTAACTGAGTCCGTTTCTGAACTATGTAATCTGCTGATGTATTTCTCTGTTCCTGTTCCCCTCCCACACTTCACAATCACTAAAGCATTATAGCATGTTTTGGTGTCTGCCAAATGTTAGTGGGAAATCCCCTCTCCCACCTCTTCTTCTTTAAAAAAAATCTGTTCATCTTTATTTTCTCTTCTGGATGAATATTACATATATATAAGGATTTATTCTGTGACTTTGAGAAAATTACTACCAGTAGTAATGCTTATAGCTTTTTTCTTTCTTCTTTCTAAGGCCTTACCTATAAGAGGCTAAACCGGCTCGATGAAGCTTTGGATTGTTTCCTGAAACTTCACGCAATCCTGAGAAACAGTGCCCAAGTTCTTTACCAGATAGCAAATGTGTATCTTATGTGAAAAACTTGAGGACAGTTGTTAATTCATTAAATAACCTTAGCCAATTAGGTAATTGATGAGAATAATATCTTAAAACTTATCAGATTAATATGTGATAAAAATATTTGAGTGATCCTGTTTTTTTTTTCAATTTTAATTCCAGTTTAATTAACACTAGTGTTAATAACACAAATGTTATATTTGTTCCAGAGGCATAGCGTAGTGATTCAGTAATTCTGTACATTACTCAGTGCTCATCATGATAAGTGCCCTCCTTAATCCCCATCACCTATTTCTGCCATCCTCCCACCCACCTGACCTCTGGTAGCCATCTCTTTGTTTTCTATAGTTAAAAGTCTGTTTTTTGGGTGATTTTAAAAGATCATTTGCATTATAAAAGGAATTATTTAAAGGTTAAAACTATTATTTCTTAATTTTTGGAAATAATAATTGAAATAATTGAGTATAACATGTTTAATACATATAAACTATTCATTGATTATAGATTAGATACTTTAGAATGTATTAAGTCTGAGTCTTGTAGGGTATTTTTGAAGCAGTAACTTACTATTTAAAAGGAAAATATTGTTTATTACTGCTTAGTACTGTTGATTGAGTTCGGTTAATTTGTCTTATTTTAGTTGACCTATAGGTTTAATGAGTATAACTCTTCAAAGGCCTTTACCCTATGAAATTAGCCAATAGTTTATACCAATTCACTCATTCATTCCATTCACTCAGTAGTTACTTATTGACTGTGGGCTATATATACCAGTATTACCTTTAGAACTCTGGGGAATGTTGAAATAGAAAACATTCCTCCTGTGTCAGTTTCTCCTACAACTCCTGGCTTTCTTTAGTTTGGGTTTTTTTTTTCCTTGCCATTGGTTGAAAAAGCAGAAATTTGTTAATGTTTTTAATGCCTTTGACAGTATTTGAAAAACATGTTAATTTCTCTCCTGATTTTAAAAATAATAAGCTTTCACAAAAATATTTGGGAAGGGTTAAAAAAAATTTTTTTTTTTTTAAGATTTTTTATCTATTTAACAGAGAGACACAGCGAGAGAGGGAACACAGGCAGGGGGAGTGGGAGAGGGAGAAGTAGGCTTCCCACTGAGCAGGGAGCCTGATGCGGGGCTCAATCCCAGGACCCTGGGATCATGACCTGAGCCGAAGGCAGACGCTTAATGACTGAGCCACCCAGGCGCCCAAAATCTTTTTTTTTTTTTTTTTTTAAGATTTTATTTGAGAGAGTGCATGCATGCATGGGGGGAAGGGCATAGGGAGCGGGAGAGAGAAACTCAAGCAGACTCCGTGTTCAGCACAGAGCCCATCACAGGACTCAGTCTTAACCACCCTAAGACCATGACCTAAGCCGAAACCAAGAGTCAGATGCTTAACTGACCATGCCACCCAGGCGCCCCAGGAAAGTTTAAAATCTCTCTCTTTTTAAAAAAGTATTCTATTTATTTATCTTTAGAGAGGAGGGTGGGCAGAGGAAGAGGGAGAGAAGCAGACTCCCTGCTGAGTGGGGAGCTCGACAGGGGACTCGATCCCGTGACCCTGAGATCATGACGTGAGCTGAAATCAAGAGTTGATTGCCTGACTGAGCCACCCAGGCACCCCAAGGTTAAAATCTTATGTAGAGGGGTGCCTGGGTGGCTCAGTCGGTTAGGCGTCTGCCTTCGGCTTGGGTTATGATCCTGGGGTCCTAGGATCGAGCCCCATTTCAGGCTCCCTGCTTGGTGGAGAGCCTGCTTCTCCCTCTCCCTCTGCCTGCCACTCTGCTTATCTGTGCTCTCTCTCTGTCTCTCTGTAAAAAAAAAAAAAAAAAAAAGATCTTATGTAGGTTTTTAAGTTAGCATTATCTTGATTTAAATTTTATAGAAATATGTTAGGAAAAAGTATGTTATAAGGTATACCATTAATAATTTTAAATACTACCTGCTCTACTTTTTTTAGAGTACATAAAACATTTTTTAATGAAAAAATTATTTTTAGAGCAGATGGTTTCATGTTTATTCCATTTAGCTTTTTTGTTTTGTCCATTTGATCTCTCTGAAATTTCCACTATCATGATCTGATACTGCCCAGTTCATGATCAGTTTGGATTTAGTTAAGCAATTGATATGTTTAAGGCTGTTTGAATACATTTTCTTATTTTTACGTTTCTCTATGGTATCACATTCGCCATCATTAAAAACAAGATTCTTGGGGCGCCTGGGTGGCTCAGTCGGTTAAGTGTCTGCCTTCGGCTCAGGTCATGATCTCAGAGCCCTGGGATCAAGCCCTGCATTAGGCTCCTTGCTCAGCGGGGAGTCTGCTTCTCCCTCTCCCTCTCTGCCCCTCCTCTTGCTCACGCTCTCTCTCTCTCTTTTTCTCTCTCAAATATATAAATAAAATCTTTAAAAAAAAAACCCCAAAAAACCCAGATTCTTCTTTTTCAATAAAACTTTGGATTGGAATATTTTCATTTCACTGAGACATTTAATATAAAAATAAATAGTCAATAAGTATTGGCGGGAATAAATTATTTGAGTGTATGCAGAGGATTTACTAGGCACAAAATCTACAAAAACAAACTCCTTGTTTGGGGTTTATAATCTAAATAGGGAAAACTCCAGGAAAATACATGGAAACTCTTCCCTTAATATTTGAACATTTTAAGAGAGGTAGAATAATTGAACATAATTTTCAGGCATTTTTATTAAGGACAAATTTTGGACAGTGGACAGTGCTTTGAATAAAAGAGCAAACTGTTAGTTCTGCTAGAAATTTGGGAGTTGATCTTAGTGGATAGTAATGAAGCAAAAGGAAAAGCAAGGCATATATGGAACATGAGTGTTACAGTGCTGCATTTTTCATCCTCATCCCTGAAGAAATTCAGAGTAAACAGTATTAAATAGCACATTACTATAGGCTAAGAAATATTTTTACTGTAATGTTGTTTTTAGGTTTCCTTATTGATCAGTGAATTTAGAAAAATTGTGTTATCCTTAACTAAAATTGTCCAAGATATGAATTAATGGAAGATCCCAATCAAGCTATTGAATGGTTAATGCAGCTGATCAGTGTTGTTCCAACTGATTCTAGAGCTTTGTCTAAACTAGGAGAATTATATGATAGTGAAGGAGATAAATCCCAAGCATTTCAATATTACTATGAGGTACGTGTAATCTTACTTTCCTTCTTCTTTAAAGCTTTTTATGAATTGTTATAAAACAGTCAGCAGGCCTTTTAGTTTTTAAGAATTAGAAATGCTTACTAGTTTCTAAATGAATAATTTAAAATAAAATAAAGCATTTGTGGAATATAAAGTTAGTTTTTGATTAATTTAATAAAAAAATTAAAAGTACAAATTCATTGTTCCCTTGAAGCATGATTTTCATCCCTTTTTTAATTCTATTACTTACTTAGACTCAGATCATCTATCAGTACATCAAAAAGCTATTGATAGGTAATTTAAAAATATGTCAAACAAATGTTTTCTAATTCTTGTAGTTTTAAAACTTACAAAGTACTTATGACAGCTCATACTTTTTTTACTAAGAAACTTCACATTGGATAAATTAATCCAGTCAGTAGGTAAAATGTTGAGGTGTAAATTATATGTTGCCACTGATGTTGTATTGTCACATTCCATATTTTTTCCAGTCGTACAGGTATTTCCCCTCTAACATTGAAGTCATTGAGTGGCTTGGAGCCTATTACATTGACACCCAGTTTTGTGAAAAAGCCATTCAATACTTTGAAAGAGCTTCTCTTATACAGTAAGTAACTATACTGATTTCATGTTTACTAAAATGCCTTGTGTTGGGATTTGATTTTATCCCTAGAATTAGAATCTGATAAACATATTACAGGTATTATATAAGCCAATATTAATGAACATTCATGCATTATTTCCATTTTCTTGAATGATATTCCATTTTACTTAGTCTTTATTGTGATAAGTATATTAGTCTTTTATGCAAAAATTTTTAAAAATACCTTCCTTAAGGTACTTTCTTTTTCTTTTTCATATTTCAGCAAATAAGTATTATTTCATTATCAATTAGAAAATGACTGACTTGGTCCTAGGACGAGGTTTCATTTCTGAAAGAGACCTAATAGAAATAAGTTGTGTTGGTTTTAATTTATAATCGATTTACATTGTATACTAAAAATTTTAAAGTTGTCTTTAAGTTCATATCCAAATGTTTTGTACATGCCTGATTAAAAAACAACTGAAAAATTCAGGTCTGTTTTGTATTTGGCCAAATTGAATTTTAACATTAAATGTGACTTGGAATAATTTGAATGATAAAGGAATGCTTAATAATTTGATTGAGATCTGTGTGGAATTGATGTTAGACAGTTTTGTGGTTTTTTATTTTTTTAATTTAAATTCAATTAATTAACATATAATGTATTATTGGTTTCAGAGGTAGAGGTCAGTGATTCATCAGTCTTGTATAATACCCAGTGCTCATTACATAACATGCTCTGCTTAATGTCCATCACCCAGTTACCCTATCCCTCTACCCCTCCAGCAACCCTCAGTTTATTTCCTATGATTAAGAGTTTATTATGGTTTGTCTACCTCTCTGATTTCATATTGTTTTATTTTTTCCTCTCTTCCTCTATGATCCTCTGTTTTGTTTCTTAAATTCCACATATCAGTGAGATCATATGGTAATTGTTTTTCTCTGATTGACTTATTTCGCTTAGCATAATACCCTCTAGTTCTATCCATGTTATTGCAAATAGCATGATTTCATTTCTTGATGGCTGAGTAGTATTCCATTTTACATATATATACCACATCTTCTTTATCCATTCATCTGTCAATGGACATCTGGTCTCTTTCCATAGTTTGGCTATTGTGGACATTGCTGCTATGAACATTAGGGTGCATGTGCCCCTTTGGATAACTGCATTTGTATCTTTGGGGTAAATACCCAGTAGTGCAATTGCTGGATCGTAGGGTAGCTCTGTTTTCAGCTTTTCCGGAACACCCATACTGTTTTCCAGAGTGGCTGCACCAGCATTCGGACCAACAGTGTAAAAGGGTTTCCCTTTCTCCACATCCTCGCCAACATCTGTTTTCTGACTTGTTAATATTAGCCATTCTGATTGGTGTGAGGTGGTATCTCATTGTAGTTTTGATTTGTATTTCCCTGATGCTGAGTAATGTTGAACATTTTTTCATGTCTCTGTTGGCCATTTATATGTCTTCTTTTTTATATATATATATATAGATATTTTTATTATGTTATGTTAATCACCATACATTATATCATTAGTTTTTGATGTAGTGTTCCATGATTCATTGTTTGTGTATAACGCCCAGTGCTCCATGCAGTACATGCCCTCTTTAATGCCCATCACCATGCTAACCCATCCCCCCACCCCCCTCCCCTCTAGAACCCTCAGTTTGTTTTT